ATAAACTGCAAGCCAATTTAGCACATGAATGTGAATATATCAAAAAAGATATATGTATATTGTTGCAGAAAGAGATGGTGTAAGTGAATATTTAGAAAATGCAGTATATAAAGCAAATACACAATCACTTGCTAATTTTTGAGATAAATATGAGATGTTATTAAAAGAATGTGTAGTAATTATAGATCATTCAATTTTAAAGGCTTTTGTGACTTGTGGTATCTAGAAGTATTTGATTTTTGGTGCAATTCCCGAAATTTCACCTTCACCAAATTATGTAAAAAATTATTTTTTTTAAAAAAAAAAACTTTATTAATAGTGAGTGATAATAATAATAAGCAAAAAATAAAAATAAAGATTAAGAAGATTTGTTTGGTTTGGGATTTTTACGAATTTCGAAACAGTTTAGGAGTTTCGAACAGTTTAAGAATTCATGCTCATTTTCTAAACCAGCTTAGAATAGTTTTAATCTAAATTCATGAGTTTCGGAAGGCAAACTCTATTTTCCACAAGTAACTACTCATACGGCAATAAGTTTTGCGGCTGCAAATACACCAGCAGGAAAATAGTGAAGTACGTAAAGCTCTTATTGTTCAGACAAGAAGACCTGATGGTCGTTGTAAAATATTCGATGATAATGCCTGTGTACTTATAAATAATCGTGGTGAACTATTAGGAACAAAAATACTTGGTGTTATTAGTATTGAATTGAGAGACAAAAAATCGGAGAAAATTGTTAAATCCAAGTATCTTTTTAATAATGCTATTCATTTCTAACCAATATTTTTTAATATCTATTTTTTTTTAATGCCCTTATTATCACATTTTTTATATTTTTAATATAAAATAACAATAATACATATATAAATAATAAAATAATAATCAATAAAATATTACTTGTTAAAAAACAAAAATGAGATAGAATAAAAGATTAAAATCTCCATCGAAATCATAATTATTAACACCCAGTATCATCATTTTTATCATCTACATCGTCATATACACCGTCATCATCATCTACATCATCATCATCATCTACATCATCATCATCATCTACATCATCTACATCGTCATCATCATCATCTTCATCGTCATCTACATCATCGTCATCGTCATCGTCATCTACATCATCTTCATTGTCATCTTCATCATCTATATCGTCATCTACATCATCTTCATCGTCATCAACGTCGTCTATATCATCTTCAACATCTACATCAACATCTATATCATCATCTTCATCATCTACATCATCATCCACATCCAAATCATCATCCACATCATCATCCACATCATCTTCATCTTCATCTTCATCTTCACCTTCATCTTCATCTTCATCTTCACCTTCATTATCGTCATCATCTTCAACATCTTCTTCATCGAAATTTTTTACATCATATTCTTCATTTTCTTGATATTCTTCATATTCTTCATATTCTTGGTATTCTTCAAAATTTACTACTGATGATTTATTATCATCATTTTGTGGCTGATGTCTTTGTACTTGATTTCGTGTGACTTGTTTTGGTCGAATTTGTTGTTGCTGTGGTTGTTTAATTTTTTGTTGGACTTTTTTCGAACTATGATTATTCAATGCTGGTTGTTGTGGTCTCTTTTGCTTTTGTGTTGGTTGTGATTGTGATTTTAGTTTTTGTGATTGTGGATGCTTTTGTGGTTGTAGTTGTTTCTTTGATTGAGGATGTTGTTGTTGTGTCTTTTGCTTTTGTTGTTGTGGTTGCGGTTGTTTCTTTTGTTGATGTTCTTGTAATTTTTGTGGTTTTTGTTTTTGTGGATGTCGAGATTCGATATGTTTTTGTACTTTGGGTGATTTTTGTTTTATGGTTTTTTGTGGATGATGAGACTCGATATGATTTTGTACTTTGGGTGTTTTTTGTTTTATAGTTTTTTGTGGATGATGAGACTCAATAGGTTTTTTTTGCACTTTTAACGGTTTTTGTTTTATGTGATTCTTTGGTTGAGGTTTAACGGGGTGGTGTTGTCCATTTAGTGGTTTTGATGGTCTTTTTTTAGATTTTTCTGATGATGGTGGTTTTTGATGTTGAGTATGATTGGTAGTAATAATATTAACGTTAAATTTTGAAATATCTGTTTGCAGTGGTCGTCGTACTTTCTTTCCAGGTTGTAAGGTTTTGTTACTTGCGTCAGTCTAATATTAGTAGAAAAGAATTTTGTGAAAATCTTAGAATAAACTTTTCAACATAAAGTGATGAAATAATTTTAATGAATTATATAATACACACCTCTTCTTTCCTCCCTGGCGGTAAGGTTGGTGACATAATTTATGAACGAAATAATAAGTAGAATAATAGAATGGTAGATAAAGCGGATGTGCTATGTTTCTAGAAATAGTTAATGATATTTTAGAAGTAATATATATTTTTTTTTTTGAAAAAATATTTTTTGTTGGATCTGAAAAATACAAAAGTTAACCGTTTAATACGTATATTTTTATACGTGCTCGACCAAGTCACGTATATTCTTGGCATGCAAATGTTGTTAACATTTTTCAATTCATGTGTTACCATGATTGACCTAATTCTGAATTATTATAAAAATTTGACGCAAATTTACCAAAAAACAATAAAAAGGAACTCTCCACCTTTCCACATTCTTAATAATGTTTAAAATTTTTGATTTGTGATTTATTACACAAGTATACTAGAATGGGGTTTGTATTAGAAGAAATAGCAAATAAAAAAAATTATTTTTAGTAAAACAACTCTTATAAATTCGGTTACAGATATAAAGAAAATATTCCAGACCCTTGTATCACGTTTTTCTACTATGCAAACAGGATCCAATTTTTTTCGCCAGTTATAATAATAATAAATTCTTGTATTAGCGACCCCAAATTTCCTAATATGATTAATTTTGGCAACAGGAAACTCGCGACAAAATATCTTGTAATTTACATTGTTGTAGAAATTAACGTAAATTCGCAATTAAAGTGCTATATCACGTTTAGAAGGTTATATTGCATTTAGAAGGTTATTTCGGAATTAAATTGCCCGATCGGAATTAAAGTGCAGGATAGTATTTAATTGCTGAATAGTAATTAGAGTGCTAGATCTCAATGAAATTGCTACTTAAGAAACTTGGAATTCGACATACTTGTAAAATGACTTTTGGTGATAAGTTTTAATCACAAGTTAACTTAATAAATTATTCGATAATATGTAAATCTATTCGTAATAGCCGATCAATTCACATCATATAATTGGTGACATAAATCTTTATCAAGTTATTCTTTGTTTGTTATTTTATTTTATTTATTTGGCTACTATAGTTGTATTATAGATAATTAGTTATGGTGGTAAAGGTAATAATAGTTTCTCACAATCGTCATATCTTTGTACTTTTTTGTTGTATATTTATTTGTTTTATTTTAGTTTATAAATCCAATTTCAAGTAATCTACCTGCTTCATCCAAAATTAAATAAAATAAATGTATTGCAGTATTATTATTTACTTTATTATTTTACACGCATAAAAATTATTTATACAAAATAAATCCAAGCCAAGTTTACATTTTCATTCTTTGAGTTCCCAATTCGTCTGTTATCATTATTGTTGTTATCAACTTAACAAAAGGCTTCGGATTCCATTATCCCAAAAAGTGACGAACAATACATTTTGTTTAATGTTTCATTCTTCCACCCGATTGTCAACCTCTATAAGGCAAAGGCTTGTATTATTACATAATAAAGAATTTAAAAAATTTTGTCAATCATATACATTTTTATTTATAAAAAAATCTAAAATCAGATTTATGAATATATGTTCCAAGGTTCTTCTCTTCATTGGGAATCAAAAAAAAACATTTATTATGTAAAACACCTTTAAAAAACGAAAACTCTCACGAATGATTGGGTATAAAACACATGATATATGTTTTTATTATGATTAAATATTCACAACGCTCGTGTTTTTTTTAATAGGAGAGTGTAATAGTGTAGTTTGTTGTAGTATAAAGTTCACATTCTCTATAACGGCCCGTTTGGCTTATTATTGTGAAAAAATGTCTGTTATAGAGAGGATCTGTTATAGACAGTAGTGATTTATATAAATTGGGCTTAAACTCTCGGCACGTTATAGAGCAAGATCCGTCAGTTATTATTATAGAGATAGTGTGCGATGAGGACTGGGAAAACTCTATTGAATGTGGCCGCCAACATTATAAATCAAATGATTAATTCGCGGATCGTTTATCAACCGGGGGATTTTAATGTGGGGCACGTTTACTAATTAAGACCGTGTTTGTAAAATCGGTATACAACATATAAAATTTATTTTTCACTAAATTTTATTCATAACGATAGAAAAAATGTCAAAAAAACATGAAAATAAAATAAAAATTGTATTTTATTATACTCGATAAAAAAAGTTATGTATTGAGAAGGGGGTTTTTTTGATATTTTATATATCAAAAATTTTTATTAAATTTACGGAATATATGATTTTTTTTTTTATTTTCAAAAATAATGGCAACTATTCTATAACAAGCAAAAAATTTTTTATAAATTATTATCTTGTGGTTCGTAGGCCACATCAATACAAAAAAATAATGCTTTACCATATAAAATATCAAAAAAAAACCTTCTCAATATTGACTACTTACATAGCTTTTTTTTATCGAGTATAATAAAATACAATTTTTATTTTTTTTTCATGTTTTTTGACATTTTTTCTATCGTTATAAATAAAATTTAGTGAAAAATAAATTTTGTCAATTATTTTTTTTTTTAATTAGTAAATGTGCCCCGCATTTCCTATTAAAATCCCGCGAATTAATTTAATTAATTATATGAGCTAATTTAGGCATAGATTGTTGAGATTTTAAATTGATGATGATCCTTAAAGTCTGCATAATAACAATATGTGATTTTTTGGATATGAAAATTTGACAATATTTGCATACAAATAAATCTAGTAATTTGTAATGATATTAGCCGGCTAAGAGCTTAAATAAACCACAGTTGATGAAAAATCTTTTCAGATGGTACTAAGCTTGCCTGTATTATTATTACTATTGTTATTATAATATTTCGTCTTTAATTGTTTGAATAAAGTTTATTTGAATTATTTGTTTTATTCGTTATGAATTTGAATATTTGAATTACATTCGAATAAACGAGTAAAACGAATATGATAATAATCCGAATAAAAACAAATAATTCAAATATGACGAATGATTCAAATAGGACGAATGATTCAAATATGATGAATGATTCAAATAAGACGAATAATAATAATTCGAATTAAAATAAGAATTTGTATTGCGAATAGAAACTATGACTTTTATCCTGCTATGATGTATTGTATTATGTTGTTTGAGCAAATGTATGTTTTTTTGTCATTCCAAGTAATGCAGGTGTACCAATCTCAACTAAATGTCTATACCGTTGAATTCTACACCAAAATTCCAGATGTAAAAATGAATGTTAAGAGAAATTTTTTTTGGTCGGCTAGACTGTTTAAAAATTCCTTAGCCAGCTAACTTGACGTACCATCCAGTATATACATTCCGTACCTATTCCGTATGTTTTGGGAACAAAAACACTTTAGTATCGGTGTATCATAAATTCCGCATCTATTTTGTATGCTTTATACGCAAAAAAACCCCCGTACTATGAAATTGAATTATTAGCAGTATTCGATAGGTTCTTTAAAACAAAATTGCGATCAGCAAATCTTGAAAAAATCAATGTTGCACGAATTTTTTGTAAATATATATAAAATTGATCAGCCAAAAAAATTTTTCTCTCTTAACCAAATGGTTCGGTGTACATTTACTTTATTGTAAATGTACCAATTGACAATAGGAAGCATTAAATTAATTAATATATTCAAATAGATTTTTTCTATTACTGTATTATATTAATAAATAATGTAAAGTTCCAGTCAACAAACCAAACACTAAATCTTTTTTCATAAAGTTACTTTGAGTTTATTTTTTTTAAAGTAGATTTGGTAA